TAGATATAGTGGTTAGGAGCTACCAACGCGCAAAAACCGCTGCTTATGCCCCAAAACTGAGAAGTTTATTATTGGAATTTGTTGTGCATTTCAGCATCGACCGATCGCGCTCATTTTCACATCTAAGGAAAAAGAACTTTTTCCCTCTCGCGCGCGATACTATAGCTGTTATTGTTGCCTAGATGAAACGGCAGCTAAACATCTGATAAGTATAAGAAATTCGTCGTCTTTTTTTTTCTTTTTCTACTACGGAACGTAATTACGAAATAATATATTTGATAATGGTCGCTCGGGTTTTTTGAATGCGTTTCCACAGTCGACGCTTTGCCGCCATCCCGTTTCAACATCTTTTACAACATCCAACGTAATCATATCTATAAATTTATGCCATTATACATGCGGCAGATTTCGACTATTGACACAACCGATAACGAAAATACGAAATGAACGAAACGCAAAATGAATTACGGAAATTTCGACATTTTTGTTTCCATCTAGGTTTCCATATAGAGAGCGCGAGCGGACGAAGCTTAAAGGCGCTCGCGTGCGCGTAACGGAAGCAACCAAATCACAAGAGTAGGGAGGAAACGGAAAAAAAAGAACACAAGCTGACACACAAGCGAAGCTGAAACCAATTAAAGTTTCTTACTCGAGCATAATTTTTGTGTCGTGTTGTGCAACGAGTATCGAATCGTTAGCCGAATAGATTTATTATTTCAATGTCGTCGTTGTCGATGTAACATAGAAAAGCGTGGCGATATCATGTGTCGCGGCAGACATGTGTTCCATGAACCGCATATACTTTCAAAAATTCCACGGATGGTGCGCCAATTGTTGTTTGCTCAATCTAAATTGCCGTTTCTCCCCCGTTCGCTGTCTCTTTCTCTTCTCCATGGAAAACAAAAATAGAAAATCTCCATTGCCAAAAAGATCCGAAAGTCAAAGTCACCTTCTTCATATATCTTATAATCTAAGAGCCAAAGACTCGGGTAGGGATAGAATCCATTTATTAAATTTTTTGATTAGAAAGAAGAAAGGAAAAATCGATGTTTGTTTTCGAATTAGCATTGATTCGTTGTACACGAATTTCATATATCGAGAGCGAAAAAATACGTCGGCAAACATTGCTCTTGGTGACAATCGATGATTAGGTCCGTATTTTTGCGGACTCTGTTTTCAACTTGCTCACACACCAAGTCTGTTTGCGATCCTAAGCATTGACAAGATTACTTGGGCACTCTTGGATGGTTGGAAAAGTTTCGAAGATTCATGGCAATATTTTTTGTTCCTTTCGCTCGGTTTTCGGTTCGGTATAATATGTTATTGTTGAACGAAAGAGGGACTATGAACATTGAGCACAGAGAGAGAGAGAGAGAGAGAGACCGAATGGGCCTGGGATTTTTATTATTCATTTTTTCCAACGGATTATTATGTGGGATCGTTATTTTATTGGATTAAAGCCCACCATTTTTGATATAAAATACAATGAATGTGTAAAAAAGTTTTCGATGAAAGCTTGCAATAAAACAAAAAAAAAACTTAAAATTTATTATTATGTTTTTTTATTGCCGTCATTCATCTGTCTTACAAACAACACATATACATACATGCAAACGCACACAGACAGAAAGCGACAGAGAATAGGCAAAATCCATTCAAAGTGAGTCCGTTCATCGCATGAGAAAGCAAACGGAAAAGAATTATCGTTGTGAAGCATATTTTTTTCTCGCTTTGTCTCTATCTCTCTCCCTCTCTTTCGATGTTACTCATGATTTTTTCATGTCTGAATTGCTTACATTTTTACGCTTTGCTTGGGTTATTTTTAAACGAACGTTGCTCGCAAGAGTTATGATAACCGACAAACAATGCAATGAACCCATATCCTTAGATTAAGCAAATCGTCTAATGCACAGACGTGTACACAATACACACACGCACATACACAGTCTTTCTATTGCAAATGATTTTCGCATCAATGTATTTTGCTCTTCATCTCATCGGTCGGTGGCAGTGCCTCAAAGGCATCTCTCATTCATAAAACATCGTTAGGATGGAAGTAAAAGCGACGAGAAATATTTGTGCTGTAAAATAATGAAAAAGTAAGTAATGGAAACGATTCCATCATGCTGAGACTGTGTGCGCGGACACACGATGGTTTATTGGTGAATTGCTTTGCTCTGCATGTTGTAATACTAGAGAATGGTGAAAAAAATCCATTTGGCGTAGACATTCTAATGAGAAATCATTGCCAGCGTTAGACGAAGTTTTCGTTTTAAGCAACAGGCTTACTGAACTTTCATACATATGTATATATATACATTTTGTGGCAAACAAATCTAAAAATCGAGCAGCAAACGATGCGGCCACACATTTATAAGTTAGAAACTTCCGTCCACTTATCAGTCTACCACCACTCGACTGCGTCGAATAACCATTTTCAAGTAAATGAACTAGAATGAACTGGCAAAAAGTTATAACTTTCAATCTAAGCTTCGCATCTAGATGGTTCATATCAAAAACCACATTTGGCAAGTGTGCACAACAGAAAGTGGTCAACAGTTTGTGTTGCTGCATTGCCGTTTGCAGGCAAAGTCCAAATTGAATAATAAAAGCTCAAAGCAGCAGAAAAACACACACACAGACACATTTCTCCATTAGACGGATGGAATGGAAGAACTGCTCTTTGACAATTATCAAATCCCTTTGATAATTATAAAATATGCGCCGTTTTAACTTTCTCCTCGTTCCCAATCCCTTTGTAAACACACCAGCGCACACACCGTCACACACACTTTGTTTGCAGGTTTTCACCTGTCACTTCGTCTGTATCATTGTAGGAATGACAAATAAATGCCATGCAAAATGAGAAGTACGGCTCAGTGAAGTGTGTGTGTGTTTAGTGTTCACAGCGTGCAGAAATTTAAGGCATACACGTACAATGTGTCTGCATATATTGAAACGTCTTTTAATATGCAACGGTAGTTTTGTCGTTTGAAGACGCACGGATGCGGCGACTGTTGTTTATGCATGAGGCGTTGCACATGAGAGAGCGAACGAGCAAGAGAAAGAGAGAGAGAGAGCTACGGAAGGATTACAAAGTTTTTGATTGAAATATTTTCATTGGGTTCGTTTGTATTCGCATGGGGTGCCATATGCTCAGCACTACGGAATAATGAAATTTCCGTTGTTGGTATTGAAAAGTTACGTTGCCTCATTAATGCATCATGGCTCGTGTTTGGCTCGGTCAAAAGCTGGAAATAGTTCTATGTGTGTGTCTTTCTCTGTGTTAATGTTTCTCTCTCTCTCTCTTTTTCTATATGTGTGTAAGTGCCCTTTATAGCGGTGCATATATCAAAGAAGGAATGATCGTGCAACCGTGTCAATGGGTGAGAAGAAAAGAGCTTCAGCAAAAATGAAAAGAAACGAAAGAAAGAGAAATAAAAAAATACACATGAAAAACGATAAAAAGCAACCATTGTGCATTGAGATTCTCATAAAAAATGCATGGCGTGAGCTTCACCACTTTAGCTTGCATGCTTCGCATTCATTTTGAGCGGAATTCTTCTGTTTGTGTGTGTGTGTGTGAGTGCGCGCCTCCTTTCGATAACATGATTATGATTTACCTCCGCTATCAACATTCTTACAGTCTTTTCCTGGTTTGTTAATCAAAAACCGACGAAGCAAGACAACAAATAATGCAATACATCATCACACAGCCTGCCGTGTTGCTGCGTGGAAGTCAAAGTAAAATGCAAGAGAGAAGAAGCAGAAGGGTTCAAGTGGATTTCGTGAAAATTATTAATGATCTCCTAAAGAGCCGGCGACGCGTATATTCGCTCTCTGTATTTCCGCAAGTGTGCGTTTAAAAGAGTCTTTCGAATGAAGTGTAAATACAAAGCACACATAATGCCAAATGAGAGTTAAGTTCTAATTTACGTTTCCTCTCTGCCCCAAAAACAAAATTCGGTGCTTGAAACAAATTTCTTCATTATACTAGATACGTATTCCATTGCAGAGAACCTCTCTTTATCTTGGCACACAAAACACGATTAAGTTCCAAAAAGTAGGTTATACAAATCGCGGTCGGCCAGGATTAATTAAAAAAAAGAGAGAAGAGAAAAAGAATTTCAGCGCTCCTTTGTAGTCAGCACATTTAACGATTATATAATGATATGCATATTAGCTTTGGCACGTACCTAAGATGAATAGGATTCTAAATGGTAATTGTCTGCATACAGCCCGCGAAAAGAAGCTGCCGCCCGTGCAATAATAGAATAATTTATTTGACGCAAAGTTGACACAAGCGAAAAGTTAATAAATTTTCAACCGAACACCGAAAATGAGAAAAAAAGACGAAACGACGAAAATTAACATCATCACAATTTATGATGGGCGGCGGATGGTGTGAAAATAAAAAACGAATTTGCTCACGAAGCACATAAGCACGCGTAAAATGTAACAACACATCATAAGAAAACGGGATGAAAAAGGTGCAAAAAGGGAAAGTGTGGGTGGTGGGAGGTTTAACAATTTTATTGAATAGAACTTTTTAATTATGACAAACGAAAATAGCATTGAAAGGTCGGCGTTCATTTCTCAATTAAGGTGAGAGATTAGGTGCACGCACATATTTTCCCGAATGCGCTATTCACCCTTTTCAACTTAATCAATCAAAACTAGCAGCTGAAGCGTTTGTTCGTCGAAAACATACTACATCCACATTTTTCAGGGTGGCAACGCAGCGATATACGGTGCGCTTGTTGTTGTTTTCATTTAATTTCATCCGATGCCCCCGTTTTTCCCATTAAATTACAAATGCAAATTTTCCCATCAAAACCTTGATTAAAACGAATTTTCACAGTTTTTTGTTGTTGTTGCTTTAATTCATGTATTCCGTATTTTGGCCGTTACACAAATTTTTTTCCCCGACACACGCACAAAATACACTAACAAAATTTGCTAATTTAATTTTCTTTTTAACTTTTTTCAATTACACATAGGAGGACGCAAATGGAAATCGGATTATGCATTTCAGCGAAAATGTTAACGTATGAACGACGACGACAACGATAACGACAAGCACAGCGATCAGCGTACAAATTTCAAATCAAAAACATCCAAATGCAATGCAATGTATATACGAGGTAGTAGATGAGAGAACCGAGCCAGATCGGTCATCAAAAAAGAAGCAGCAGCAGCAGCATCAGTTGTTCGCCTTCGATACATTTATCTCAGTGTCGTCATCATCATCATCACACCATCGTCGATGATATCGTTATTGTGGTGGTTTGGCTATGTGCTCGTATTGGCTGCTGCCATCGCCAAAATTGGAGCTCAAAATGTGCAATTGTCAGCGTTTAAGGATACATCGTCATCATTGCCGGCGGAAGCTCAGGCGATCAAATCATGCGGCGGCATGCTTACAGCAACACAAGGTGTCATCCAAACACCAAACTTTCCAGACAAATTTCCCGTGCCGATCCAATGTACGTGGGTCATTGATGCATCGGCGATTAATAAGAATAATGTTTCAATAATTGTCTACGTCACACAACAGTATCTGTTGAGCGGTTTAAAGTTCACCGAATACGATTACTACAGCGATGACATAAAAGTGAAAAGTGAACATGCACCGTTCGAGCTGAATGAGCAAACGGTCACGCAAACGGTGACCGTTCAGTTCTACAGTCAGTATCTCGAAATCAAATTCACCATGGACAATCTATATGGAACACATTTGCGAGCATTAGACCGTTTGCTCGATGTGTACGGTTTCAATATCACATACGAGATGGACGGTGTCGTTAAGCCAAAACCATGCACTGCCCTTCTGTGCCGATATCTAGGCCATTGCTATGCAACCAGCGATTTCTCGTAAGTTGACTTTTTCATTATGTTCATTCCCGTTTTCTTTTTTCGGTGGCCTTCTTCTTTTTATCTCTTTTGTAAATAGCAAAAAAAAATTGAGCACCCAGTAGTAGTAGACGTTAGTGAAACATGCATGCAACATTTTTTTTCGGTCGCTTTTGATTTCGTGCCACATTTTCGGGATGCACTTTATTGCATTTTTCCTCTCATTGTCCGCTTTAAATGCTGCTTTTTTTACCCAACCCTTTTCGCTCATTTTGCTAGAACTAGAGTCTATATCGAAGCTGCAATTTCAACGAAAATAAATTCCTCGTTGGTATTGCACGTAAAGTACGAATCACATAATAACTACGAAAGGAATAGAGGCAAGGGAGAGAGAAGCTTCCACGCTGATGTTTTTTCGCCATATTATTTCCCTCCACATTCTGTCTAGTGTTCATGCTAAATGAGGTATTTTTATTTTAAAGAATCGTCAGTCCTTTCTCACATAAATAACCATCATTTTATGGTGGTTATATTACTTGGCTTTATGCGTTACTGCAAACGTGAATCAAATTGAGTACTTTTTTTCTCTTCGTTATTCATTCCGAGGCGGAGACAACATAGAAAAACGAGCAAGTTCCGTTCGTTACTCTCTTTTTCAATACACAGTGGGAACCGGGAAATTCAATTACAATGTTACTCTGTGATGCTGTGCAAAAATATTTTATATTTCACCATTGCCAAAATGTCTAAATCAAACACCCCAAAAAGTTAAGCGGAAAGCCCAACACAACGCAACGCCGCTTAGCAACCAGGGAACAGAATAGAAAAAAAAAACAAATTGAAAATGAAAAAGCACGCTCAAAGGCAGTTAGGAGACTGACACACAAAATAAATGGAGTCATTTTCATAGAATCCGCTTTAAAAAAATAAGTTCAAATTGTTATTCTATTGAGAATATTAACATAACACACAACACAATATAAATGGGAGCAGGTCGGAATCTGGATCGATAAGTGAGTGTAATAACTCACGTTGAATCTATGTTGAAAATGCCCGTGCAATACGTGATTGCTCCAAGTTTCACATCGCTTTGTTTATTAACCAAATTACTTTTCCGCGCCTTTTTTTCCGTTTCAAAACATACCGAATTTTTGAGTCGGGACAATTGTAACGATACAAAAGAGAGTAAATACCATAAACGATTGAGATATAAAAAGTTAAATAAGAAACTCTCGCGATAAAAATGAACTCAATAATTATTTCGTCATTTTGAATGACTTAAGAGCGTGAAAAGAAATAATTTCGTGCTGAAAATGTTAAGGCATTTTTTCTGTTCCAAATGAAGCCGAAATTGTGATTTTGGTTGTCAATCTTAATCCTTTTGCACTGGAAAATATGAATTACGGAATGGACAGTGGATACGTTTGCAAACACACGATCCGGAAACGCAAAGCTCAGAAAATGATATCGAAACGGGGAACAGTATGTCAAGCAGCGCGTTATTAGACGACGGGCGGCAAGCGAGCGACAACCTCACGCTCACAAGTAGATCGACAAGACGATGTTTTCTTAATAGCATCTTTTTTTGTTGAGATCCCTAATTCCAAGAAATTTTCTTGCATAGAACCCGGTAAGTTGGCCATAAAAGCGCGTCAAAAAGTAATGGGGTCTTGTCATCGCGTCTCGGCGACACAAGAACACAATTAAGTCACTTCAATAAATATGATAAATTAATGTGAAAATATCCAACGATCAACGCTCTTTGCCCATCGATTTATCAAAAAATCATATAATGTTGTCGTAGTTGTCGTCGTCGTTGTCACTGTAACAATTAAATAAGCATGTTATCGGCAGTCATGACTTTGATGAATTTTTAATGGAACATTTGCCGTGGCTCATCGAAGAAAATTACCCTACTGCTTGGCGCCGCGCATCATCGACATGAATTCATTTGGCTTTAATAAAAGAAAATAAATTGTCTGACAATGGAGCGACCGAAGCGTGTGCATTCAATTTGAAATAAATCTTAGATATACTTAAGTTACTCACAGCAGCCAAAGGTGGCTGCTTTTGTGTGGCAGCATGTGGCATTTTGACAAATTTTGATGGTTGTTCGGGCAACTCCTAGGGGAACAAGTACGAAAAATTAACGAAAAATTAGACAAACAATCATAAAACACACATATAAAATACTACCGACACTTGATCGTTACAACAACGGAATATAATACGCTGGAATGACACTTATGTGAATGAAACTTGGCATAAAAAGAGCTGTTACTGTCTTCCACAGATTTCCAGCAACTTCAAATGCGTCAATTAAATAAAGCGTCTGACGGTGTCAATTATTCATACGGTCCCGACGAGAAATTTGCGGAATATCGCATTGCGACTATTCTACGTATAGTCGCAATACGAAAAAGTCCGTCGAACGGAGCCAACTTCACGTTGGTTGTACGAAGTTTCAAGTCGAAATGTCACACTCGATCCAGTTACAACTTCACATTTATCGCAGCGCGAATAGTCGCAGGGTATTCAGCGATAACATTTTGCGGCAACTTTTATTGTGGATACCTATTCGCATTGCGAGTATCCGCACTCAAAAACGGATATGCGACGGATAGTCGACGTACACCTATTTTACCGCAAATTTCTCGTCGGGGGTGTAGTGTACTCCAATCTGCTTCGTTTTTTCGTACTTTTATGCGCGGTTACACTAAACAAGAACAAGTAGGAATTTGTCAAGCAAGAAGCTAACGGAAGTAAGAATCTGAAAGAAAAATTAATAGGGGAAAACGTAGTCATCCGGAACACTGAAGTAAATTCGGAAAAAGAACACAAAAGTAACATTTTTGGGAAAAAAAACTTGTTTTTTGTTCGTGTTGATAAATTACTCTGACTGAAAACAAATTAAAAACTTGTCCATGTGCAGAAAGTACATTTTCTAGCTCAGTCTGTGTGCATTATGCTGTGGTTTATGGATATGGTCAAATTTATCGTAAAGAAAACCAAACTTTCGAAACGTTTTTCCAATGTTTGTCTGGTGTGCAACAAACACAAACTCTATAGCCAATAAAAATCAGTGGTTCGTTTCATTTGTAAAACGATGCGTTCGGATGCGTGATATGGAGCAAAAAATCAGCTCGGAGAGAAAGAAATTGATTGTAGTTGCAAAGGAAACGAAATGATAAAACCAATGAATTTGATGGCAACGACAACAATTTCATGAGCAAACGAACGAAGTAATAATATGCTGAACTTCAAAGCAACAGCAAATAGCGCAATGCAGCTATGGAATATATTGTGCATCTCGACTCGTTTGTTATGATTCTCTTTTTTCTGCGTGCGCGAGCGATCTTTGTGCATTGTGTGATGTTTTTTTGCCCTTTGGAACGAGCAATTTCAGTTTGAGTTTGATACTTGCTATTTTCCGCGGCCCAAAAATCTCTCTTTTCTTTTTCCTCGTTTTTTTTCCATCGTGTCACGAAACATTGCGCTCACTATTTGAACTGTCATACTAAAACGGAGAAGCTAGCTAGGATAACCAAAACTTTGTAACGATTTCAGCGAAAACATGCGATTTTACCAACGCAGCGTAACAACGATACGAGCATTTTTTCGTTTCCATTCGATAATGGTAAATTGAACGGCAAGCGGAATCCGTGCACTGCACACAACTTGAAACATTGTTAATCAAAGCCTCGAAAATCCGTTTATTTGTTTTATTGCGTCACCGACATTTCGTTCACTGTCTCATTCCAAAAGCGTTTGCAATCAAATCGTTGGCATTTTTCGATTTCGTGGTATACCAACGAATTTCTAGATGCCATTTCCCAAAACACTCTAATTCAAATCCAATTATATTTTGTGCGCACCAATCACTTTTACCGAAATAACATTTATCACACAAATATTGTGTTCAACATCGTGTATAGATCATGTTACACACAAGCCAAAATCGTAAACGCACGTTGTTGTCTGCAAATGCAATTCAACACAAAGTGAAAAAGAGAAGAAAAAAAAATATCTCGGATTCTTTTTTTTCTGGGTGGTGTGTGCATTGCCACAGATGAATGAATCAAGTGAAAATACGTGCAACGTCTGGCCATTTTCATAAAACCCATTTCATTTATGTTGCAATTTTCAGCGTAGTTGAACATGTACGCAGATTGAGAGAAGATAGTACACAGCGAAAACTAAATTGGATCATTCATTTAACGTTTATTATGGAAGCTTAAATGATTTCGCGTTCAAAAAAGTGGTTCACGAATGGCTAGAGAGCTGTGAAAGTTTTACAAAGAGACCGATCCTTTGGAGCAGTGCACAGATTCAACGGTTTTTTTTTTCTTTTCTCACGAAGTGAATTGCAACAGACTTTGCTCTAACATCAAAGAAAACACGATGGCGACACACAAAAGGAGAGAAAAAAAATTTAAGGCGAAAAAAATGTCGGACCATTTTAAATGTAAATGTCTAATTAAATCGTGCTTAGTTTCCAGTCCGTCAAGCATTTCCATTGCAATTGAACAATGAAACACTAATTCGTATGTTGCGAAAGTCGACAAAAAAAACCTCCTTTCCAAATCCAAATGCTCCAATGATTTTAAAATGCTAAATGACTGAATACAAATGTTCAGTGTCATTTAATCGGTTTCGGTTGTAAATTGCTTTTTAAATGCCCCGAAGAAAGGACGAATGCAGCATACATTTTGCCACTGAACAAAGACGCATTTCTTCTTATTTGGCATTCAAACGATTACTGACGCTGCTTCGTTTCACTTTCAAAGCTTTGGTACTTTTATAATTCCGACACCGAACAAGATGCACAAACGTACATGCAAAGCAAACAAGCGGAATTAAAACTTAATGTGAGCGAAAATGAATGGGGCGATCGAAGGAGAGAGAGAGAGAGAGAGAGAAAGAGAAAGAGAAAGAGAAAGAGAAAGACAAAGACAAAGAGAAGAGAATTGTAACAAAACAAGATGTAAGATGAAAGTTAAGCAATCGTGTGGTTCAATTAA